AAGTCTTCATTCAATCATTCCAGAGCAAGGTCCATTTCATGGTTTTCTAAATCTTCAAGAGGATATTGTTAAAATGTACCACTTCATATTCAAGCCTATTTACAAGGAAAGTTTTGGCTCAGATTTGCCACTCAAGCCCAAACCGTACAGAATCAACATTTTGATCAATGCCGTGTTTTTAGGATGACTGAAAATAAGATCAAAAGTGCTACAAAAATTYAAACTTTGCAAAGATATAGAGTTTTCATGCATCCTACACATGCTTGAAGAAGCACTGCCAATTGGATTGTTTTTATTCCGTTGTCCACAGATCTGGAGTACTTTCTTATTATGTTGAAGTAATGTTGAGACTTTTAGTATTGTTCATAACAATACTATGTACCTCCCGGGGTGAGATCGAGAGGGGAGAGGGGARCATGACATTCAATGCTATAGCTGTAAACATTTAGCGTTAATCAAGTAATAATTGACTTCATATCTTGAATGTTAAGTATCAATAAATGTGCTTGTTATGCATTGCAAACACTTATATGACCATATAAGGGCGTTGTTATTATAAAAGTTGATTATATATCATTAATACTCGTTTAAAGAGCATAATATAGTGAGTAGTAAGTAAAATCATTCCAATGCTCAAACATTACTAGAAATTGTAGGTGTTGAAATTGCAAMGTTTTGAGTGAAAAGCTTAACATCCTCGTTTTTACGTTTTTGTACGTTTTAAATGATTGTACTCTTGCGATATTCAAAATTGAAACTAAACCTCTACCAATTTACTAGTTTACATATACAGAATCTTTCTTATGGCGAAACAGAWTTTTTTTAAACATGGAGCGTTAAGGAGTTCCTTCCAGGTCTTCTGCTTATTTTCATATGGTCATTTAACTAAAGTATAGTTATCACATGTCTCGAAAAGAGTAAAAGAAATATGTGCCAATCCTTCTTTGGCCACCCCCACTCCTGCTATCCTGCTARATATTGCGCAGTCAAAAATCTTACATTCTCATTGGACAGTCCTAGACCAGTGAAAAGTGCCAACTTTGATTTTCTTTTAGAAATATTGTGATTCATGTCGATGTGTTAAAGGTCAAATGCAACGGAAAAACCAATCCTATTTTTACGATTTCAAATGAAACTTTAAGTCAAGAGAAGGTTATATTTTCATTTTGAGCAAATTTCTTCAAGTTTTACCTCAATTTTTTAGCGATTACTTTTGGACTTCCGAAGTTACTCYGAAGATCGTGAATATTTCCGCGCGAGGAATGGAATCGAGTGATGACGTCACAGATGGTGCGATGTGGTTTCAGCAAATTTTAGCAAAATCAAGTTATCACGGCTGTTTGTTTCGATATTATTCGATATTATGTCTCAAGAAGAAAGAACAAGAGAAGTGCTTCAATACCAATATGAGCCAATCGCGGCACATAATTGGACGGCACATAATTGGACGGACATAATTGGTTCGGAAAGCGATAATGCTGACGAAATGACCGAAAATCAAGAAAGACTTGGCAACGTTGACTGGTAAGAACCTGGTCAAAATGTCCATTACTAAAAACATATTTGGATCATCTTTCACTGATACAATAAATGTACTGCACTCTATAGGTGCTCCTGTGGCAATTGTGCACCGATGTCTACTGTCCCGGAGAGTGTGTGCTGTGTAGAGGATGCAAGAGTCCTTGGAAAAATGGTCGGAGCGGCGTGCATCACATGTACCGACGACTTTCTTGCTGTTTGCACGAATAAAGCTGTGATCGAAACAGCTTTCAATCAGTACTTGGAACAAGAGGGATTCATAGACGACGAGCCACTAAATGAGTTAGTATACACTTTCACAGTTTCAGAGAACAAATGTTCCGCTATATTACAAAACGAGCACCGAAGCACTGTATCATGGCCTGCAAATCTTGTGTAGTTGCCGAGTCGCTTACAAATTATAAATAAAATACAGCAATATGCAGAAATTATGATCATTTTGAATCATATTCCAAGTATATCTAAAATATATCAGAAATTATGGGATATCATCGCCAATATGTTTTTGAAGTTGCCTAGCACTAGTACTTTCTGAAAAAAATATTGGCGATGATACCCCATAATTTCTGATATATTTTATATATACTTGAAATATGAGTCAAAAAGTCATAATTTCTGCATATGGCTGTATAAAATTATATATAAATATAAATTTATATAATGTGAGACGTATAACGTTTTGCAATTTTTGTTACAATACTGCCACAGTGCCATTATTGCTCTGTGATGATATTTTTCATTTTATTCAATTTTCTCAAATTCGATTTCCTTTAATTTCCATTCTGCTGTAAAATGTTATTACAATCAAGCAAAAATTTGTTGTAATGAACAAATAGCACAAAGTTTAATGTAAGCTAAAAAAATATAATTTCTATATAT